GGTCCTCTCTTCGCCATGTTATGAGGAGGTTTTTAGGCGCTGATGCATGCCTGTGTTCGGTGCCCTGCAGCGCATGCTCTGCTCTGCTAGAACTGCCTGCAGGTGCTTACAAGCCCTACCAATCAGGCAAACCAAATCCAAGCCTTCTCATTGCTGTATTGTGGGGAGACTTATTGATGTTGATTCGTGCCTATCTTCGGTGACCTGCAGCTCATACTCTGGTCGAGCTGCCTGCTGGTGCTTATCGCCTAATCAGGTAGACTGAATCCAAGCCCTCTCATTGCCGTGTTGTGGGGAGGCCTTATTTTTCTCTATTTCTCTATCTCTGGGCATTCCTATTTCTCTTATTTTACTTCTATCTGCCAGCATTCCTATTTCTCTCATTTTACTTCTAAACTTCTGTTTCTCTTATCCCCGCGGCTTCCTGGCGCCCGCCCCAAGGCTGCTTCTCAGCACCTCGCCCCGCGGCGGCTTCCCGGCTCTGCGCCGCTTCAGCCCGCGCTTCTCGCATCTGCGCGGCTTCCCGGCTTCGCGCGCACTCCCCGGTCTCTGCGCCCTTCGCGCCCGTACCACGGCCCCCGGCCAGCCCCGCACTTCCTATCTACTCACGCCCCGTGCGCTCTCCCCGCTCGTGCCCCGCGCGCTCTCTCCACGCGGTGGCTCCCGCGAATCACACAGCCTAGCTCACGTTTCCGCTTGTCGGTTTTCAGTTTAAGTTCCCCGGGCTAACCTGACGAAATGCAACCTAGCTTACGTCTCCGCCTTTCGGTTTGGCTTCCCGTCTTTTGCTCCCCCGGCTAATCTGACGGATTCCAACCTGGCTTACGTCTCCGCCTCTGGTTTTAGCTTTTCGCCTTTTGTTCCCCGGGCTGACTTGACGAATTCCAACCTAGCTTACGTCTCCGCCTCAGCCTGCCCCTGCGGCTTCATTTTCCCTAACATTTTTCTCTACCCGGTATGTTTCCTAACTTTTCTTCCAACAATATTCCCCTCTCATTTCTCCTGGCTTCTCCCCACAGTCCGTATCCAAGTCTGTTTGTTCTAGCTTTCACTTTCGCTTTTAATCTCCTAGCTTCCCCGCCATAGTTCGCATCCGAGTCTATGTTTCCTCCAGCTTTCACTTTCGCTTTCAATCCTAACTTCTTCTGGCACTTTTTCTGTCCGGCTTTTCCCTAGGCTCTTTCTAATCTCTCTCCAGTATTTTCCCACTTTTTCCCGTTTCTTCCCTCCTAGGTTTCCTATCCGAGTCACGGCACCATTATGTCGCTCCTAGGCTTCCTATCCAAGTCACGGCACCATTATGTCGCTCCCTCTCTTCGTGGAGGAACGACACAGGACCCTGCGCTGTTCTTTTGTCTGCTCGGCCCTTCCCGGGTTTGCTGCTGGTTCTTCCCGGGTTGGCTACCAACCCTTCCACCTCCGTGGAAGGGCGGTTCCCCCTGCCACTCTACCCACTTCCGCGGGGGAGCGGCACACCGCCGGCCGGCTCTCTCGGGGGCTGCTCAGGTGTTCCTTCAGATAGATGTTCCTGGTGCATGTTGTCTCTCTCCTCCTTTATAATCCTCTTCCACCAATCCCAACTCTGCTACCCACACGCCAAGTACGCTGCTCTCCTCCAATCAGGAGCAGGATCAGCTCCTGCAGGTTACTGGTTGAACTGGAGGCAGCTGTGTAAAAGTTGATTTTACTCCTCTCCCAGTGCCATATTGTGGGAGAGCAGATGCATAGAATAAGTCTTAATTCCAGTAACTTAGTCTAGTCCGAGTTGCTCCCCACAACTTATGACTTCAGTAATCACCCTAGGCTCTAGTCATGAGTTGCCAAGGCTTTGGAAGCCTTTTGAGTTCGCCAGCTCCGATCTTATTTAGACAAGGTCATAGTCAAAGTGGAAGTTCTGTTACTTCTCAGCCTTTTGGCTAAGATCAAGTGTAGTATCCAAGTGGAAGTCCTCTCCTCCCTTCAGAGAAAGGTACCTCCTCCTTTGATGCCTCTTCTTCCTGCTGGGATCTCACTCTGCTGTGGATTTTCTGCACACTGATGCTCTGGTTCCCTCTTGTTTTATTATTCGAACTCTAGAAAAAGCAACTTGGAAGCACTTAACGGATGCTTCTCAGTGAGTGAAGTGACCCCCCCCTCGGGTGCCTGTGAGGTGCCCCTGTTTGTTCCCAAGAGAAACGTCTGAGGACTCGAGACTACCAGGACAGAGGCTCATTAGCAGCGTTTATCCGTTTATCGCAGTTTTTGTTTTTCTTGTTTAAAATGCTCATTTTGTAGAACCTTTTCACATTTTCCTGTTTCTCACACTAGAATTAGCAGCTGATGTTCTTTGGGAGACGTTTTCCCCCTGAGAAATGAGCTGTCACTTGCTAAGAGTCATTGAGTACACAGGGCAGGAAAGTGAATGCAGAGTCGTGTTGAGCGGCTGATGCCGGGTCAGTGGCCGGGCCGGCCCCGCGGTGCCTCCAGGCTCTGCACGGCAGCCGTCAGAGCTCTCCTCCACACCTCGTGTCTGCACAACTGCCTCGGACCAGCCGTGGCGCTGTTACTCACTGTGTCGCTTGTGACGGGCCAGTGCTCCCAAACGATGCAGAAAGCCCTGCATCGGTCTGCTGTGTACCCTGAGTCACAAATTGACCGTCAGCTGCAAAGCCCCCGAGAGAACTCCTGTCACAACCTCCATGCAGGCATGAGAGGCAAGATGAGCAGGATTTGCAGCTTGAGGACGGTTTCTAAGTCAGTGGGAGAAACAGCAGGGCAGACTGAACTTTCTCGTATTCCAGTTCAGTGTAACCTTTCTGTGTGCATAAGCTCTCCTGATCCCCTCACAAGGCAGCTTTCGACCTCTAATTGCTGTTTACCTTTGTGTGTCGGCTTTGTTCTTGAAATACTGACGGTACGACATAAGGAGCGTAAACCAGGGATCGGATGTGCTCAGCGCAGGTCCTCCCCTAAGATCAGTGATACAGGTGCTCTGCACGTCACTCCTTGTCTCTGTCTCTGTCTCTCTCTCAAGATTTATTTATGTATTTGAAAGGTAGAGTTAGAGGGAGAGACAGAGATCTTCCACTGGTTGACTTGCCATTTGACTATAGTGGCCAGAGCTGGTCCTGGCCAAAGCTAAGACCCTGGAACTCCATTGGGTCTCCCACATGTGTGGCAGGAGCTCAGGCATTTGTGCCATTTTTCACTGCTTTGGTATTGTAGGCAGTGGCTTAACCTGCTACACCCCGCCACCTGCCCTACCTCTTTCTCATTTTATCTGTGTACACAAGAGATCCTGGTAGGGGGCCAGTGCTGTGGCATGCAGGTTAAGCCTCTGCCTGTGGCATTGGCATCCCATATGGCCATTGGTTTGAGTCCAGCTGCTCCACTTCCAATCCAACTCCCTGCTAATGTGCCTGGGGAAGCAGTAGAAGATGGCCCAAGTGCTTAGGCCCCTGCATCCACATGGGAGACCTGGAAGAAGCTTCTGGCTTCAGACTGGCCCAGCTCCAGCTGTTGCAGCCATCTGGGGGTTGAGCCAGTGGGTAGAAGACCTCTCTCTCTCTCTCTCTCTCTCTCTCTCTCTGTAACTCTGCCTTGAAAATAAATAAATACATCCTTTAAAAAGAGGGGAAGAGAGATTCTTGTGATATTCACTCCTTCCTCTGAATTCCTAGGCATCCCACATTGTGTTTTCATTTCTGATTATTTGTCCCCCTAGAAAAATTTATTCTCCTTTTGGTCAGAACAGCCCAGTTGACAGGTAGTCCAAGTGCCTCTCCAGCCTCACGTTTCCCTGCGTCCCCTTCAGTTTCCAGCTGCTCTGAATCCCTTGCTCCCCTCTGAGCTGAACACCCTCTCCGCTCCTCTCAGTCATGGCCTGGCTCATCTCCCTTTATGAGATCCTAGCGGCTGCTTGCCTAAAGGCTCACCTCGAGCACTTCTCTTGGGAAGTGCCCCCCGTCGGCACCAGCCCCCTAAGCAGCGTCCTAACTGCTGTGCCACATGCCAACCTCAGGAGCCACATTCTCTCACTCAGAGTTTTGGTCTTCGTCCTTGTCCACCTTCTCCCTCCCTGGTCCACCTCCTTTGCTGGGGAGAGGAAGCATGCTTCTCGAAGGGCCTGGTTTGATCTGTGTGCATGAGGTACAGTTCTGCCAGTATCTTGACCCCAGCACCTCCTCCTTGCACCCTCTCCCAGAAGGAGAACCCCACACTCCAGGACTACAGGCGAGGGTGGGCTGCTGCTGTTCATCAGACCCCTGAGTTGTTCTGCTCCCCCCAGCCACAATGCTGACAGCAGTCTTAGGTCTGAACCAGACTGTTCATATCGATATATTTTATTTTTTTTTTTTTTTTTGACAGGCAGAGTGGACAGTGAGAGAGAGAGACAGAGAGAAAGGTCTTTCTTTGCCGTTGGTTCACCCTCCAATGGCCGCCACGGCCGGCGCGCTGTGACCGGCGCGCTGTGACCGGCGCACCGCGCTGATCCGAAGGCAGGAGCCAGGAGCCAGGTGCTTTTCCTGGTCTCCCATGGGGTACAGGGCCCAAGCACCTGGGCCATCCTCCACTGCACTCCCTGGCCACAGCAGAGAGCTGGCCTGGAAGAGGGGCAACCGGGACAGAATCCGGTGCCCCAACCGGGACTAGAACTTGGTGTGCCGACGCTGCTAGGCGGAGGATTAGCCTAGTGAGCCGCGGCGCCGGCCCCTTAGTTCTTTTTTACTTTAGAATTTGCGGGAACGAGGAAACCTGATTCTTGGGGAAACTTTTGGAGCAGAAAGCTTCCGGTAGGCCGACACATGAGCTGTGTTGTGTGTGGCAGTGTTGTGCACATTTGGACACAGAAGTGGCCGTTCAGTTTCCCAGGTTGATGGAGCACAGATGTGACTGTCTGCTTAGACTCAAGGGACCCTGGTCCAGCTGGCCTGGGGGAGATGTTTGTTTTCTCTGAGTGCCTAGATGTGTTCTGGGGAGACTGTGACCTGTCGGTGGCGCTGACTCTCCTCTTGTCTCAGGGAGGAGGATGAGTGCTCGGAACTGCGATCAGAACTCAGCCAGAGTCAACACGAGGTCAACGAGGACGCTCGGAGCATGGACCAAGACCAGACCTCCGTCTCCATCCCCGAAAACCAGTCCACCGTGGTCACCGCTGACGTGGGTGAGTCTGCCCACTGTCACCACTGAGCTGGAGTGTGGCTTCTGGAGCATACTAGGAATTTTAGGAACATGAGGAGCCCAAATTAAAATTTAATTATTCAAAGAGTTGGTTGAGTGGGTGATGGCACGTTGATTTCACTGCCTTGCATGCTACTCTGTTGGTCAAAATGGAACTGAAGACCCGAATTAGCTTTCTGTCCTGATGGGAGTTTGATTCGCGCATTCACCCCTGTTTGAGAATTGTGGAAGCAGAGACCCGGTTGGAAAGCGGTGGCAGCGCTGCAAGGTGCAGTCAGGACGGTAGTGGGGGGAGGGTGGCAGGGAGGGGATGGTGGTGACACAAAGAAGTGTGAGGACCCCAGTAGTTTTTAGCGGCTGTTAGGTAAACAGGAGGAGTCCAAAATGGCTCCCGTGTTGCTCCTAAATGACTAAGGGAATTGTCCCTTTAAAAATTTTTTGTTGAGATGGTAAAGAATGTCCTTATGGACACATCTGATAGAGTGTATTTTTTTAAAAGATGTATTTATTTTATTTGGAAGCCAGAGTAGAGAGAGAGGTCTTCCATCCACTGGTTCACTCCCCAGATAGTTGAGATAGCCAGTGCTGGGCCAGGCTGAAGCCAGGAGCCAGGAGTTTCTTCCAGGTCTCCCATGTGGGTAGCAGGGGCCTAAGCACTTGGACCATCTTCCACAGCTTTTACCAGGCTATTAGCAGGGAGCTGGATCAGAAGTGGAGCAGCAAGGATAGGAAGCTGTATCCATGTGGGATGCCAGCATTGCCGACGGCAGCCTTCCCTCTATGCCAGTCCCAATGTAGTATATTCTAAAGTGCATGTCATGACCCACTCTTGAGGCTTGAAATGATCTGAAAAGTAAAGGCAAGTAGGAAAACAACAGAGTGGCAGTATTGTGTCATGAAACTTGTTTGTTTAGTGTATGATGCAGTAAGTTTCCAAATGAAATCTTCTTTGGGTTGCAGTCAAAATGTTGCGGAGTCACTGGGCTACCTGGTTGTGCCTACCGTGGATGTTTGGAGAGCAATTGAGGTTGAGAGTGGAGACTTCGAAGTGACTTGGGTTAGGGTGGCCCCTGTTCATGAAAGGATGTGGAGAGGAAGCAGCCCCATTTCTTAGGGAATGGTGATCACATGTAGAGGGGAGAAGAGAGAGAAGTAAGTTCCACGGAACTTAAACTTAGGTGGGGACAGATTCAAATCAAAATTTTTTTAAGGTTTATTTTTTATTTATTTGAAAGGCAGAGTTTACAGAGAGAGGTAGAGACAGAACTCCTCCATCTGCTGGTTCACTCCCCAAATGGCCACAGTGGCCAGAGCTGGGCTGATCCAAAGCCAGAGCCAGGAGCTTCTTCCTGGTCTCCCACGTGGGTGCAGGGGCCCAAGGACTTGGGCCATCTTCCACTGCTTTCCCAGGCCATAGCAGAGAGCTGGATGAGAACTGGAGCAGTTGGGACTCTAACCGGCGCCCATATGGTATGCTGGCACTGTGGACCAGGGCTTTAACCTGCTGTGCCTCAACACCAGCCCCTCAACTCAAGTATTACACATTTCGGTTTAATTATAAACCTCCATAGGTGCTGTCATCTTGTAGCGTAGTACCTGAGAATATGAAGGGAATCTGATTTCAGCTAGGGTTGCAGGAAGGCTGCCCCTAGGAAGTGACTTGTGAGCAGAGAGCCAGGGGGCCTGGGGACCGTGCAGGCAGAGGAGCTGACTTTGAGTGAGGAGGGAAATGCATTCAAGGACATGGAAGAAGAGCTTCGTGGATGGAGGGCAGAAGTGTGAGAAGAGACTGGGGAGCCAGTGAAGGCCAGACCACACAGGGTTTTGTAGACCGTCTGAGGGAGTCTGGCCTTTGTCCAGAGACCCACAAGGAGCTCCTGAAAGAGTTTAGCGGTCAGGGAGGGAGATGAGCTGCTCAGATGTGCATGTGGAGTGCATCACTTTGTGGTGTAGAAGAATGGGTAGGTCAGGTGTGAGCTGGGGAGGCCGGGAGACCACCACAGACTCACGGGGACTGGGGTGGTGGCGGTAGAGGAGTAGACAAGGATGAAGTTGGCAAGACTGGCTGAACGGTCGGAAGCAGGGTGAAGGTGGAGTGTTTGTGTGGCTGCCCTGAACGGGTCTGGTTTGCAGAGTGGTGGCTGAGGGCTGCTCTCCAGCGTGGAGCACAGGGGAAAGGGCCAGGGGGTTTTGCCTTGACTTTTGTCGGGGTTGGGTGGAGGAACAGGCAGAGCGGGTGTGTCGTGTTTGGGCACGGACTCCAGAATGTTGAGATACCCAGGTGGAGGTGCTTCAGGAGGCAGTAGGGGTTCAGGTAAGAAACAAGTGGAGTGGTGTGGGCTGAAGGAAGCATCTGGGAGGCGTGCAGTAGCTGGAGGTGGCAACAGAAGTAGTGGGAGAGAACGCAGAGAAGGGGAGGAGTGGAGGGAGCCTGCATGAAGCTGTCGGACGCCAGCCCGTCGCCTGTGTTCAGAAAGTCCTTGTAAGAATGCAGCAGTTAGCCAGCCCACTAGCCAGCCAGCCAGAGATGTGGGAGGAGCATGAAGAGAGCGTGTCCTCAGGAGTGGGGCCGCGGAGGCTCCAAACGGGAAGAAGTGGTCAGCCACCTGGACTGCTGCTGAGCCAACGGTGGATTTACCTGTGTCCGAGACCCTTAGAGCCATAGACTGATACCAGCTTAGGCCAGACAGGAATGTGCTGGGGAGACATCACCTGGCCAAGCCCTGTTAGTTGTAACTTAAAGCTCAGGTTAGTTTGGCATCTGCTAAAACTGCCTCCCTCAAAATTAACTGAACCCACATCCCGGGCTCTGTTAGAACACACACAAGCCCTGTGACAGCCCAGCGTCGGGCCAGGGCCCACATGCTGAGTGTGTACCAGCACCATCAGTCACTAACCCTAGCAGCCCCAGGCTTCTAGACACACAAGCCGGACACGTGCAAGCAGCCAAAAAGTTCCCAGTCCGGGCAAAGGGTCAGCCCAAACGTGAGCCTTCCATTGGGTCCCCTCAGATGGTATTTTGTGCAATTAATGAATGATCTCTTTGACACTTCGAACAAGTTTCATATTCAGCAAGTTTGGGAAATGTGGGGACAAACCCACTTACACGGGCATCTCTCCTGTGGGACTTCTCAGGGCTCCCAGCAGAGAGGATGCCTGGAGCCCTGGTTCCCCGCACAGGAGGCCGCATCTCTTGTCTGTATGATGAGACGTCTTCATTTACTTGGACCATTCATCTCACATCATTTCTTTCCACCTTGTCCCTCGTTTATAAAACAGGTGTTAAGTGCGACCACAGGTGGTATCGTGCTTGACAAGACAGCTCTGGAAGGAAGCCACCCCTCCACCTGTTCCCCACCCACACAGAGCTTTTGCACACAGTTAGCGCCGAGCTACGCACTGCAACCACAGACTCAGAATCTGTGTTCTCACCTCAAACCCCTGAAACCTAGAGTGGTACAGATTCCTTCGCACAGTCTGTGGGACCCCACTACACCTGGGCTCCCCCACTCTCGCTGTTTTTCTCTCAGCTCTGGCCGCACGAGCCTCCCTAGCTCGCTGCCCCTCCAACCTGGCCAGCTTCTCCTGCTGTAAGGCCTACACTGTCAGTTCTGCCTGGAGGGCTCCTTCCTCCCCTCTGCACAGCTCGGTCTCCTGAGGCAGTGACCATCTGTTCCCAGAGCCACCCTGGTGCAGTGTCACTCACTCGCGGCAGTGTGTCACCCTCTGCTCTGTCCAAGCTGCATCTCCCTTCAGAATACTTAGGGCTCTTGAGGACATGGTCAGTGTACTTGTTTCCTTGCCTTGTCTCTCACCCCAGACGCAGGCTGCACATGGGCGGGACGTGGGCCCCGTGTTCCCCAGCCTGACGACGTCTGCACACAGGAGGCCCTCACGTATCTGAGCAGGAGTGGACACTGTTCAGGGCTCCCAGATCTTTGGGAAATGCGCACAGGTCAGCAGGAAAGACACACAGCAAGGTCAGGGACACACGGCAGGGCCTGCAGGGTCCCCTCACGGCCCCTCCGACAGGCGCGTGGGACAGTGCGTCACACAGCTGCAGCAAGTAGAGGTCTGAGGGCCAAGTGACTGGTGCAGGTGGAGTGGAGTGGGGCAGGCACTGGGGGACAACAAGGAGTTGGTTGCCCCTACAACACAGAGGACAGTCAGTGTGTTCTCATCGGGGCTGGCCTTCTGCCTCTTACTCCTTTGCCATCTTTCCAATTAAATTGCTTCAGTGGGGGAAAATACCGTTATAGGAAATCATTAAAAGGCATCCATTTCATTGTGGTGCTGTGTTTGTAGATCTGGGTTAAGAACCCAGAGGCTTTCTTGAGCGGGATTTTATGTGTATAGTTTTCTGCAGTGTATTTGCCAGTCTCCCAAGATGACAGGAATAGGTCCAGGCTGTTTCCAACAGCTCTAACCTCTTGTTTTCACACCCTGCTCCCATGGCTGCCCCTCCCTTAGGGCTCCTGGCTCTGTCCACCATGCCTGCAGGAGGAAAGGAGCAGTTTAGAAAGCACCTAGGCTTCCTAAGCAGGAAGGTGAGAGAGGGAAGGTCCCCAGCCTCTGGCACATTGCATTTTAAAATAAATCCTATCGCTGTTTTCAAACCTGGTCATGCACCTGTTTGAAAAACAAAGGTAATTAAATGTTCAAAGCTAAGTTAGGAATTAGAGCTTAGAAGGTTTATTTCCTCTGTCTGACAGCTGTGGCAGCTCTGTTCACTGCGACGGGTCAGATGTTCCCCTGTGTCCCACCCTGAAGGGGGCCCCGAAGTTGCCTCCTCAGTAGAGTCCAGTCAGCGAAGTTCAGAGAGAGCGAGGCGCTCGCCGGTGCAGTGGCGGGTTTTGTTGTTGCCGCCGTGGTTCTGTGCTCTGTGCTCCCTGATGCAGCACTCGGACATGTCTGTGCTGGTGTCGCGGGCTCGCCACAGCCCTCCGAGCCCTCCGAGCAGTGTGGTGCTCACGGGCACCTGGC